CCACCGACATTTACCGAACTGATGTTAATTTTCGCTAACTGCTGCCGAGTTGCCACCGGCATAAACTTAGATTTGCATAGATTCAATTTTAATCCATTGTTCGACATCCAGGTATCAACCTCAGATAAGCACATTACCAGTTTTAGAACCTCCTGTTTGAATGATTTTGGTTTACTCGTCAACATAACCTGGATATCATCGGCATATGCATAACACTTAAAATCATAAGATTCAATAATCTTCATAACTTCCGAAGTATACAGTATAAACAGGATCGGTCCCAATACTGAACCCTGCGGAACTCCATATGAAATTGAACCAACTTTGGATGAAACATCACCAAATCGAACAACCTGCGCTCGTCCGACCAAATATGATTTAAACCATTCAATTGTTACTCCAGTTATTCCAAAATCATTACTTAGTCTATCCAATAAAATTTGGTGATCCACGCAATCAAATGCAGCACTCATATCCAAAAAGGTTAAAAGCGATACATTCTGGCGATAAATGGAGGCATAGAGGTCAGACAAAATCTTTAGCAACGTAGTTTCTGTACTATGATGACGCCTATAGCCAGATTAATTGATGGGCATCAGATTGTGCAGTTCTAAATACGTTAAAAGTTGCTTAGCTACCACACGTTCAACAATCTTTGAAAGGAAACACAAATTTGACATCGGACGATAATTTTTTAAATCTTCTTTATTGTCTTTAGTATTTTTTAATAAAGGAGTCACAACGGCAAGTTTACAATATTATGGAAAGATATCAAGTTTTAAACTTGCATTGATGAAACTTGTAATGAACGTAAGGAACAAATTAACATATTTCTTCAAGACATGCGTCTGAATAATATCTAACCAACATGCATGTTTTCGTTGGTGATTTAAGTAAAAGTGTTTTAATTTCAGACTCTGAAACTTCAGCAAAACATGTGAACAAATTATTTCCATTAATTCTACTAACTCCAAATGCCTGCTTCGTTAAATCTCCAATTTTTGCTTTAATCGTATTAATTTTTTCTTGAAAAAAAATCAAAAATTGGTCCGATGTCAAATCATGTGAAACATTACATTTATTATCTTTACACGCGATCTTGTTGAATATTTTCCACAGATTTTTAGAGTTGTTATTATCATTTATTAATTTGTTCCAATACTGTTTACGTTTGTTAGTAAAAGGTTCTTTTTTTGCTCTTAGAATATTACGCCATTCATTTTTATATATCAAATCATGATTTGATCTATATCTTCTTTCCAACTTTCGGCAACGCCGTTTGATTGCTAGACACTCCTCATCAAACCATGGTTCCGATACATTAACTCTAAAACTAACTTCATGTAAAGGAGCAACTTGATCAACAAGGGTCTAAGCTCGCAT